GGGAGGGGGAAAGGAAGGAAGATGATATCCGAGGGAGGGAAGAGATGGGATCGGAGCAAAGGTGTACAGACCTTCCTTGAACGTGTGCAGAGGTGCAACCCTTTGCCAGCCGTCACCTGTGGTTCACAGGTGTGCTCTCCCCCCCCCTCCCCAAAGAGGCCACCTGTGTGGCCAAGAACGCCCCTCCTCCTCCTCCTCCCTTTGCTCACCTCATCCATCGCCCGGATCTCCAAGCGCAGCTTGTCCATCACGGTGATGAAGAGCTGGGTGGGAGGGAGAGAGAGGGGGGGGGCGAGGCCCGGTCAGCCAGCCAGCCAGGCCAGGGGCCCCTTGTGGAGTGTGACCCCCCCCCCATCCTCAGGTGGGTCTCTCCAGCCCACCCCCCCACCCCCCAAACCTACCGACACGATGTCCGCGATGCAACGGTTCAGGTTGCCCTTGTCGTCTTTGATGGTGATGGGCCGGTCTTCCTTGATCCTCTCCATGGCTAGCGGGCAGTCCAGCTGGGAAGGGGGGGGGGACAAGAGGGCCAATTCTTACAGAAATTCCCCCCTCCCTCCAAAAAGGGGGGCCTGCGATTGGCCCTCCATCGCTCCCCACGCAACACCCCTCCCCATCATTTCCGAATTCGCTTCCTTACCCGGAACCGGCGGCAAAAGTCGTCGATGGAGTTGATCTCCAGCCCCTGCACCTGCTTGAAGGCGGCCTTGTATTGCACCAGGAGGCGGGAGCAGGCGGCCGTGTACCTGGACGGAAGGGAGGGAGGCGCCGTTATCCGAGGCCGAAGGGGCGGGGGGCGGCACGGCGAAACGCGCGAGAGGCGCACAAAACACCGCTTCCCTTCCCGGCAAAGGGGGCGCCTGTTGATCTACTCGCGGCGGCATGCTTTCAAACTGCCGAGGGGGGCGGGCGGGAGGCCGAGGCAAGGATGGGCGCTCGACCGTTGGGCGGTGCTGGGGTCTCGAACCCAGGCCCCGGCAGCTTTAACTGCTGAGCCATCGTGCCTTTCCCTTTGGCAAAGCGGAGGGGTCTTTTATTCGTTTAAAACAAGAGGTCTCCAAACTTGACCACTTTTAAGAGTTGAAGTCCCCCAAGTCTTAAAAGTGGCCAAGTTTTTTTCAGAGTTTTGGCGTTAATTCAGCGCCAGAAAAAATAAACAGAGGTGGATGATGCTTCATTTAACATCTTTAGAAGCGTAACAAGTAGATTTTACAAACCCCTTTGTAGATTTCTCCAACCTGGAGCAAACTCAGACAGAAACACGTTGCAAGTTCAGAGCAGAGCTCCAGCCTTCAGCAAGCAAGCTAGTTTCTCTTTTACTTTCGTTCAGCCGTGGCAAGCAAGACGAGAGGAGCCCTTTCATATTCAACAGACTCAAGCGCTCCACAGTGCTTGACGGAGCCACGCCTACGCTCTTTCTAGTTTCAGTTTCCAAACAGCCGTCCTTGGCTGACTTAGCTGCTATGCCTATTCATTGGCTGACTTTGTTACCAAGTTCTATTCCAGTTCACGAATAAGACTCTGACAAAGTTTGGGGGACCTCTTGATTTAAAACATTGATTTTGGCTGCACGTCTTTCAGCCGTGAGAGCCTCCAACAATCCTCTTTCTGCTTATTTTTCCAGCTGCCATAGAAACGGGGGAAGGGAAGAATAATTGGACTTGGGGTGAGGGAGAAGAGTGCTGGAGGTTTGAGTTGGAGAAAGGTAAAACTCGGGGTGTTTTTGTTGTGGCTCCGGGCTTGGATTCAGCTCCTGTGACTGATATGAGTTCAAGTGAGGAGGTCATGGCAGAAAAATATGAGCCGGCATGGCTCAGTGATTGGACTGATAACCAGGATGAGGAGATGGACGTGACAAAGGACGACAGACCTGATGTATTAGAATTGTCAGGACCTTTGACCT